GTGCAGATAATGATAATAAATCACATTATATTCGTTTCAAAATAAGTATCATTTCAAAATTTTTGTTCAGAAATTCGATTTGGTTATAATATGATTCCATAAAATAGTTCTGGTAAAAAGTTATCATATATTTAACAACCTATGTACATAATAAGTAAAAATATAAAATGTATATCATTTCATTACTTAAAATAATCTATTTTTGTATAAACTATTCAAATAAAAAAAATTGAGTAATATATTAAACTATAAATAATTGATTATTCCGTTTACGTCTAAGTTAATATTGACTCGTAAGTTAATGAATACTTTATTAAATTATAAATAATTGACTATTTTGTTTACGTCCAAATTAATATTGACCCACAAATTATGAATAATTATTTTTTTATTTTTTAATTTTAAATAAAAATCTTTTTATTTTTCTTCAATATATTATATACCAAATTTAAACCATGAAACTAATAAAGGTAATAGCTGCAAGTTTTATCAATATATTATATTTCAAATTAAAATCATGCGATTAATAAAGGTAATAGCCGTAATATTTGACCAAAATGATTATGTACATTAACTACATTAATTATGCGGAATTTTTTAAATGTTGGCAAAAAATATTACTCAATATAGTAAACACTTTAGGTGAAAAAATTAATTATTATTATTTTTTTGCTGATTTTTAGTTGCTATTTCAAGTAAATACCATTGCCTTTTTATATATTAATAGATAGATAATAAAAATTTAATTCATTAATACACCATAAAATAATCATTTAGAAGTTTTTCCATAAATTTTTGATAAAATTACATAAAAATAAATTTTAAGAAATATTTATAAAATATTATTTATCAATTTAAATATATTACATTATTTATCAGTTTTTCCATAAATTTTATTTTTTGTATAAATATTAACATATTTAATTTTTATTGTACATATATTAACATATTTAATTTTCCATAAATTTATATTAGCATTATAAAATAACATAATCATTTTGTTCTAAAATGATATAATTGTGGTTAATATGTATATTTAAATATTAGTTTACACTACATATTATTATTCTAAGTTTTGATAAAGATGGGAGAGTTAAGATAAGGAAGTTAGCTAAAGATAAGAAAGTTAAGATAAAGATGAATCTTTTTTAAAAATCCTTGGATTTAAAATTTTCACACAAAAATTTCAAATTTGTTTGGGCGGAATTTTTGAAAAATTCCAAAATAATTTACTATGTTTAGTAATATATTTAGGCGGGAATTTAGATAATTTTTTAGTTACTATTTTTGAATTATTTAGGTTGCCTCTTTATATAATAATAATAAATAATTGCAAATTATTTTGGCTTGTTTAGTAATATTATAAATATAAATATACTAGGTGTATTAATGTAATATAGTTAATGTGCTGCAGTAAGTGGTGCAATTTCCTCAATTGTTTTGATTTCAACCAAAAATGATATTTGGGCTTAGGCTATTCTGTACTACGCGAATTAATGACACTCCTTATCCGTTTGCTTAGAGAGTTTTTATAATTAGTCCCTCTTATTATTTAGATGAAATTACTTTTTTTTTTGTTTTCATTTATACTCTTTCTGTGGACTCTTCTAGGTATTAAAACATTGTCGTTTCTTTCTTTAAGAAAACACTCATTCTCTTTCCTTGATATCCAAAATGTCTCATTCTATGAGACTCAAAATCAGTTCTCAATCCCAACAATCAATTTTTTATCCAAGATCTCTTCTTCTCTTCCCCTGAGATCCCACAATTGCTCCATCCCCAATTCTAGATCTCCTCAAAACCCTGTCTCTGACGATTTCCATAGTGAGAGGCGGTTGAAGATGGCGGCGACACGGTTAGGCGACGCATCCCAAGTGAAAGCATATTATTTGGATTTCGTAAGCCGTTCACAGGCCCAACACTCCATACCTCCCATCTGCAAGGAAATTGTAATACCTTCTCTCAGTTCTCTTCTCATGGCGATGCATTTTTTGACAAGAATTTGAGTTTGTATATAGTTTATTCGAGATTCGATATTTTCGATTTTGCCACTCTGGGCAATGAATTTTCGGATTGTGTACATCGTATTTGAATAATCATGATGTTCTTAATCAACATATTTGTTACTGTGTATTATATTAGTTGACAACAAGTTGTTTTCATGTTGTTTGATACGCATT